ACATGGGAAGTAGGATTCCCTTGTCAAGGTAGCAAAAGCTTCCGGTGAGTCAAAAAAATTTGTCGGGTAAATATCCATGGCTCTTGTAAATTCCTGGATCGACAGTTGACGATGTTCTCCTCCTAGTTTGAATTGGATGTTGTCCTGAAGGTCAGCGGGACCTCACATATCTTGAATGGTAAGAGTGCTAGGGAATTCCAGAGCAAGTAGCCTGTAGATGTTTTCTTGAATGTATAACAATTTAAGCTACTCCAACTTTCGAATCTTGGAACGGAGTGCATCCTCGATCCTAGGGGTGGGCAACAGGACATGACGAGATACTCTTCTCGTTTGAAACGGGTACCCAATCCCATTTGAAGGGAAAACTCCATCCCATGTCCCAAATCGTATGAGTTTACGGGTACCCAAACTACACGTATATATCCGTCCAACTAGTGGCAAAATCTGAGAACCACGAAAGTTTAAGACAAAATTAAACAAATACAAACCTAGTTAATAATGAGAAGTCGTCACCAGTATTTAAACCCCAATTGAAAAATTAAAGAAAGTTAAAAGACAAGCCTACTAGCTACTGTCAAATAATGAGAAAAGGGGATTGTCTATATAATTGGTTATGTATCATCTTTTTGTATACGAGATGATTTGGGATGTATTGGCTAGTACTTTCATATAATTGGTTATGTGTAGTTCTTTTGTATACGAGATGTAATGGGCATGTATTGGTTAGTGATGTCTTATAACTGGTTATGTATTGTCTATTTTATAGGAAAGTTTTGGGAATGGATAAATACGGGTATCCATACTATCCACACGGGTATTAACGGGTACCCAATATAGGAATCATTGATCCCAAGTCTCATCCCAGGGAAAAAATTATGGGTATTTGGGAACGCGTAACCCTAAATACCTAATTTCCGTTGTCCACCCCTACTTGATCCTAGCCTGTGCGAAGAGTATCCAGTTGATACATGTACTCTCGCCGATAGGAAGTCCTTGAAGCCATAAAAGTTTGGTCTTAAATTGCTCGGGGACATTGTCCAAATAAAAATGAGTAAGGTGCTCTATGTCGCCTCTAACATTGGCTTGATTATCTTGATAAATTTCCTTTGGTAGATTGAGGCTTTTGCATATGTGGATTATGCAGGATGTGTTGATACTCAAAGGTCAACATCAGGCTAGTGTATTCGGGTTGGACAATCATTCGTATCATGGCGTTGCAAGAAACAAGATAATTATGTCTTTCAGACTCAGTCTTGTTTCGTAAATAGCCGCGTAAGTTGTCAGATAATTAAGTTAAGCTAGGTCTCGATATATAAGGTTATACAAGCCTAATCTCTGTCATCAGATTGCAGTTCTTCCCTCTGCCCCCCCTGCCCGTGTCCTCCAGCCCGCTTTTGCCACAACTATCCGCTCTATCTCCGATCATGGACTTCCCATTACGGTGGATGGCGCTACTCAGGCTTCTTCTCATGGCTCGGTCGGCATTGTGAGCTTCAACGGCTCCATTCCTCTATTCACATTCGGTTAGTGCTTTCCTTCAATTACGAGCCCTTATATGATTGAATTACTGACCATTCGGGAGGTGCTCTACCTACTTTTGCGATGGGGTTGGACGTCTCGGCATATTCTGGCTACAAGTGATGCACAACATGTAGTTCAACAATCGAACAGAGGTACTACATCCGATGTTCGTGGTGGGGCAATTCTGCGTGAAGTTCATAGTCTAATCTACCATCTTCCATTACTTAATTTACATTACATTTCTTGAGAAGCGAATCGGGCTGCCCATTTGGTGGCACGCAATGCCCTTCGTTATCCTGGTTTAGTTTATGGGTTGTATGACTTTGGGTACATTATGCGTCTTTAGTTTGATTGAGGCTTTCGTGGTTTGTGACACCCACCTTTGACTATTTTATCCGTAAGGATAATAATGGGAAAAAAGCAAGTCGTTTTCCATAGTGGAAAACTTTGGCTAGAGGGGTTCAGTTTTCCCAAATGGACGATCCTGTAGTGGTGGAATTGCTTGTGCTCAGGGAAGCTATTATTTGGTGTGTGGAGCAAGGCTTGTCGGAGGTCCGATTTGATGGCGATGCGAAGGTGATTATTGACAAAATTAATCAAGCCAACACAAGAGATAGCCGGTTGGGTGCTGTTCTGGAAGAGATTGGTCATTATTTTCGTACTCAGCCTGGCTTTAGTGTGCGTTTTGTAGGTCGGAAGAACAATAGGGTAGCTCATTTGATAGCTATGAAAACCCTTTCTTTATATCCGACTATGAGTCGCTTCTTTGATTTCCAGGCCTGGCTGTTTTCCAGGGTGTAACTGTCTATCTTTTCATCAATATTTGATATGTTTTGAAAAAAAAAAAAAAAAAGACCATAGCTAGTCTGGATCTTTAGGGATACCATGTCAAATCCATTGTGTTCTTTCGATTTGCTCGTACTTATTGACATTACCTTTTTTTTTTTTTACATTACCTTATTGACGTTACCTTGATTCACCGTCTATGCTACTTCTCCGGTCAATCGAGGAGCGTGAAGGAGAGACCGGCCTTCTTCTCTTCTTCAGAGCGGACAGAGACGAACAAGGATAGCCCCACCCTTTTTCTCCAACAGAGCTAGGGACGCTCGAGACAGGGGATTAGAGAGAGGGTCGGCGGGTTCAGGATTCGTTTATGGTAAGTGATGTGCAGGGAATGACAGAGCGATGGTGGACGAGCAGATTTTGGGTTCATTTCGGCTAGGGAAGACAGTGGGCAAGTGGCACATGTGAGGTGAGCAGGGTAACGGCGGAGGGTCGCTTCTAGGCAGGGTAATGGCGGAGGTGATGGAGGGAAGGTCGGCGAGCAGATTCAGGTTTCGTTCATGGGCAGGGGATGGTGCAAGGGAGGTGGCCAGGGGAATGCTGGAGAGTCGCTTCTGGGCAAGGTACGGACGGGGGTGAGTTATGTGGGTTTGATTATTGTAGAAGTTAAATTATTTGCCTCAGTTCATAGTATTTGTAGCTTTCAGAATTTTTTTGCCCTTTCAAAGGTTAAATTATTTGTGCCTTTGGGGGATTGTGGTTGTTCGATGTGTTCCTACTGAGTTCGAAAGGATTGTGGTTTGAGAGTTCAACCACTTTTAAACTTCTGATTTACTGATCAATATCGAAGAGTTTGAATTGGTTACTTATAGTCTGATGTTTACTTATGCCCTTTACAACCACACCACACACAGCTGGGAAATCTTGAGCCATTATTCTGGGTTTTGATGGTTATATTATGATGAAGAGGGAATCAACAATTGGTGTTTTATCCCTCTCTCTCTGTATATAAGATCACAACTGCTGTAACAATCCTCATTACTGAATAAATCAAAATTTACTTGGTTTCCTGCTATGTGATGATATGTTAATGTTTGAATTATGTTGTAATTGATCTTGCAGGAACCAAATGCAAAATCATTGAACATTCCATGTATGAAGACGTAGGTGACAAGATGAATACATGTGTTTATGTTGAATCCATTGGAGAATGATGCTTCTCCATATCAGGTAATATTTGTGCCCTTTTATGTCTACTTTTGTTGATTGTCGTGAATGTGATTATTATTTTGTGTTTTGGCACCAACTTGAACATCAACTTTCAATTCACAGTGTTTAATTTTCTTAAGATTCTTTGTTGATGTTCCTGCCCAATTATGTCATGTACTACAGTTCTCTCAACCAAAACTGATTATGTTCTCTTTCCTTCCTGGCCTGATTTCTATTACTAAATCTGCTTATTGGCTTCCGCGATTATTTTATACCTAAATTGATAATTGAAGTTTGCTTAGCTTCAGTTTTCTGTCATTTACACTCCCCGTTGTTTGTATTAGGGGGCATTGAGGAAGCTAGGGAAAGAAGCATGTTCATTGTGACATTGCATGGTTTGTCAACTTTTGCACACTCAGCAGATTTGGGATGCCTTTCTTCATCCCCTTATTTGTCCAGTTGTTGAGAAATAGTAGTACATAAGCTAGAGTTTACTGACCTCTATTGAATGGTTCTTTATTCAACTCACCATGATTTGATAATTGTTTAAATCGGTCTGTGATTTATTGCAGATTTTCATCTTGAACTTGGAAAAACTATTGGAAACCAGCAGTAGAAGCTGCGCGCAGCTCCATCGACTCAAAGGTCCGTGTTTGTAATTTTCCTTACGTCCTCGCCTTAGATTATGCCAATTAATTCTTTTAGCGTTTATATTAATTCATTAGGATCAAACTAATTCTGAGTCGGGTTAAGCTGATGTACTCAGTGGAGAGCCTACAATTACATTTTGGTACATCCTTTACCCATTCTTAGTTGGTGTTCAAAACCCATTTGCTTAATTCAATTTGGATATGTTTTCCAAATTAATTGTTATGCTTCTGTTACAGTTTCCATTGTATCAACGTGATAGAGAATGAGGGATCGATTGTGAATGGAAGATGGGTTTTCATGATGGGAGAGTTGTTGCTTCCACACTTTTGACAATGACTTCATCCGATTTGTTTAGTTAGCGGTGTATGCTCTATTTCTGTTTGTGGTGAAGAGAAGGCACAATGAAGCTTTAGGCCAATCTGTAGTCGGGCATTTAATCCTCTTTCTCTAATAACCTTTCCGTTCTTTTTGTTTCATTTCATTGTCTTCTCTATTTTTACCTGTGTTTGGTTTTGATTGCTCTTCAAAGAGATAAGTGATAAAATAATTTGGGTTTCAGCGAATAAGGAAACCATAGCAGAGAAAGCCTGTGACTAGCATCGAAGTGGGAAACTCGCAGCTGGTGTTTCTTTAACCATCTACGACACCTTCCAAGAAGTTTGATGGTTTTAGTCTCGCACGCCAAAGACTTGAAGCCACCGAAACCCAGGTATACTTCATTCATTCAGGTATATCTTATGTTGAAATCGATTATTAACAGTGAATACCAGAATTCAAGCACAAATTCCTCTTGCCGATGAATTCTGGGCAGGTTTTCCGTTTACTCTATTTTATTCTTCTCATTCATGTTATTTCTATTCACTCAAGTTTACCGAAGGAACCAATTCAAGTTCCTTTCCCCATAGAATCACAATTCATTCTATCAAATCTGTGATTCATGTTCCGATGAGTAACTACACATTTGAATACTTTCCCAACTGGCTTTCGTTTCAGGTGTTGACAACCGAGCTCGTCTTGGCTGAACCAAATAGAAAATTTGAGGATCTTCAGCCATCAAAGAAAACCAAATAGCAAGAGTTTTGTTTTGGTGTTGGGTAATTCAATCCAGGTTAAAGACTTTGGTCTCCAGCTGATAAGCCTTGGTGAAAAAAGCAGGCCAACAAAAATAAGTGGACAAGATGCTGCTGACAGTTGAAGCTCCGATGAGCATATTCATGACCACAATTTGCAGCTGAATGGCCTCCAATGGTGAAGCTCCTCCCATAATAAGCCCGGTCATGGCTCCTGGCAGTGAAATCAGGCCCACCGTCTTGGCGTTGTCAAGCACCGGCGAAAGTGCGATCACCAGAGCCCTTTTCACCTGCTCAGCTGTGGCCTGGCGTGGCGTCGCTCCCAGCGCCAACGCTGTTTCCACCTAATGAAACAGGGGAGACGTCATCGGTCGGAAAACATGGGGAGCGATTCGAATATGGGGTTACTCCAGATTTAATTACCAGGACCGTTTGCACTTTGATGTCGTCCCGGAGCCTTTTCATGGTAACTCCGGTGACAGTCATGGCGTTCCCGACCATCATCCCGGCAACCGGGATTATATAGCGGGGAGTGAAGGGGAACACGTTGAGCACCACTAGCAGAGACATGGTCGCCGCAGTTCCGACCAGGATGGAAGCTCCGGCGACGTATTTCCCGCCGGGGACATGTTTTGCACGTTGCTCCGCCGTGTACCCTGCCACCGTCACCTAGCCAAATAAGGGGAATTGAGATCAGAATCCTACCTAATTGAAGGAATACGGAATACTCTAAAGTAAAGATGGTAAATTGGATCAGAGGAAAAAAATACCATGAAGAGGTAAGCGAGAAGGATCCAGATGACATTTTGTTGAGTGAAAATGAATTGCAGAACAAATCCAATAATGGATAGCTGAAGGAAGGCCCTGAAGATGGAGTAAGCCATCTCCCATTCCAGGCCGAGCTTTTGGAAGTAGGACAAGCCGATCGCCATTAGAACCACGGCGGTGGCGGCCAGTGGCTTGATCATCCCGTCTCCGAACTCTACCATCCACTCCCACTCCATCTCCATAGTATGCTCGGCTGAAAACCCAAGAGAAAAGGATACAGAAGGTGAGGTCTCTCCAAACTAAAGAGTCAGAGAGGTAACGTTTTCTTTTCTTTTTGTTTGTTTTCTTTTCTGGGTGGAGATTCTGTCGAAAAGACACCTTCCCCTGGTGGGCTATGGATAGAGAGTGGAATATCTAGTGGCGTTACTATGTGGGGAATTTTTCTGAGAATTATTGAATTGAGCAAAGAATAATTGTTGAAAAAAAGAAAAGCATGAGCTGAGCAAGGAGAGAAAGGCGACAATTGTGTGGTCTGTCAAGCCAGGCTAGATCGAGTATTTTTTTTTTTTTTTTTTTTTTTGTGTGATTCCTTCACCGACGGTGGTACGTTCTTCCCTCCTCGACGGGAAGTGATTGTGAGGTCTGGATCGATGCTTCTTTCTCTGTAATTCTCTATTTCTACGAATATCTCTTTGTTTGTCTGTTTCTTTAGTGAATCGATTCCAGATTATTTCCTATTTCTTCAGTGGTTTTGTTAGGCGGAACATAAATATTTTGTTCAGTGGATTAGGGTGTAGATCCACGTTGGAGAGGACTGCAGTGGATGGCGACAAGATTCTTGATTGAGGGGAACCAGATTTGCAAATCCCATCGTTACAAGGTGAGATATTGATCTTCTCTCCTCTCTCTCTCCCGTTCTGGCTCTGTAATCTTTCTTTACTTCAGTTCCTGGCTTAAACGTTTTCCTCTCTAACGTCGATCTCATTTTAACTTCAGGGATGTCTTTTTATTGGTCGGCCGGAATCTCAGTGAAAAGCAGCAGGACCAGGAGATGGTTAGGTTGGGAGAAGAGTTTATGCTTTTGTGTCTTGCTTTGCCTTGTGAATGATTTTATTGTGCTGTGACTCTCTTCCTTCGAGAGTAGCAACTGGTGGGATCTTATTTTCATTCAATATCAATGGGGTTTTGATAGAGGAGAGCTGGCTTGGTTTTGGGTCCTATGAATTAATTTTCCAAGCACCAAATGCTTCTAAGAAGTCCGAGTTACTCTCCCAATCCGCACCAACTTCCAGTAATTAGGATCAACCAAATTAGTCAATTGGCCAGCGCTTTGGGGTGGGATAATCGAGCACCAGTCTCTAGATCTACCGATTTCTCACTTTGCATGCACCAAATTCAATTTAATTTGCATCCTCACCTCTACAATTCTGCTTCGGTATATTTCTTGCGACTAATCGATCTTCCCTGCATGTTAGGGATTAGAGGCTTATATTGAAAAAAGAGAAGGAGACATGCGGTGGCCTTGAGCAACTCTCATGTGAGCCATCGAGACCAGACGGCGACGATGCCCAGTATGGTAGGAATCTAATTTGGTTGGACTCAATCAAGATCCATCAGACCCTTTTTGAACCATGTATGCCCAGATGGGTAAATCAACGAGACAAATATTGAAATTATAGGGTTATGAAAGAAAACTGAAAAAAATCGGTAAGGAGAGGAGTGGCTAGGAGGAAGGAGAATGATATTTGATTAGAAAGAGATGGGAAATTGAAGAGAGTGAGAAGCGGGGCGCTAGGAAACAGTGGAACGTGTGTACAGAGTATTCTAGAAGGAATTTCGTTTTTTATTTTCTTTTTTGGTTCCTTTACACGGCCACTAAAGGAGAAAGTAACCGAGGGAAGGGTTAAATTCCTTACGGAGTTAATTTATTTATTATTTAGTTCTCAATTATTTTATTATTAAATATACATTATTTTTCCTTTGATACATCTCTTGCATTTTCATTTAAGCCTATATATTCTCATTGGGAAAGGAATTAATTTTCTTATATATTTACGCTTAATTCTTCCCAAAGTTGTCAACATAGATTCTGAGGTCCATCTGCTTGATCCTTATCAAGTGAGAAAAATGGACTATACAAATTCACAGGTTTGTCTCTTACAAGATTTTTTGGTTTGTCTGTTACATCTCTTGGCTTTGTGAAATGGACATTTTTTTGTTTTTCTCTTGCCCTACCCCTATTATTGAATTCTAAATTGTACTTTTGAATATAATGAATTTTTATTGTATGTTGGATTCAAATACGATATGTTATTTTGGTACGGTGTTATATGTTACTATTCATATATATGTTAAATGAGATTTGATATAATTTATAAATATATGGATATTATAATGACTTTTTTCATATATCAAAATTAAATCATACTAAAGCAATCAGATCATTAACTCTCAATACACTTAGGGGTTGTTTGGAAGTTGCGATAGTTTTGTTGAGATTGTCATTATGCATGTATTGTATACAATGCATCGTTTTTTTTTGTTTTTTTAGCAGAAACAATACATGGATTGTTTCTGTGATGTGACAGAAACTATCACTCATTTTGAGTGATTGTTATATCTCAACTTTTAGTTGTGATTGTTGAGATAGTTGAGTTGAGATTAATGTTTTGTCTCAGTTTTTAGCTGATGCGACCTACACAATCACACATACCAAACGTTGTATTCTACAATGCATCAAATTCGACAATACATGTATAATAATATACATGCATTCTCAATAATACATCTATTTAACAATCGCAACTTCCAAACGAATCGACCGAACAACAGGTTAAACATGATTGATCACTTTGATTTTTTCCCTTCATAGACGAAGACGGGCTAGCATACCCATTAAAAATCGGAAGTCGCAGCAAAGTGCGACCTATTCCACCTAGTAGTTGTAAAAGACGTAAAGGGATGATAAATGCCTACATATAAATTTCATAACCTATGTCAAGTAAAGCTTACAAAAAAGTCATAGTTGCAAGAGACTATCATGAACTGCTTTCGTTCCTCTTTCCATTAGTAGAAATTTTGTAGCAAAACCCTCTATATTCGAACTAAGCAGTTTGCTGAAAACAGAGAGGAGGAGCTCAAAGGACTCGAAAACAGGGATGGAATTGACAAAATCTATCAACATACAGAACAAGATAATTGGGGTGTATTGGCTCCCTAAAACATTAAGAGCCTTTCCTCAGATGGTAACTTGAAATCTTTGTTCTTCATCTTAAGGAAAGATTAGGGACCAGATCAGGTCAGTAACCCATCAGTAACCTCTTCTCTTGTCGCCACGTGTCAGTCCATTTTTTTATTTAAATTAAACGCGAAAGGACAATAAGGTAAAATTGCTCCTACCTCTATTTATTGTTAACGCTGACTTTTGACCGGATCACATCAGCGCCTTCTCTCTCCTCGAAAAATCTTTAATTTTCCTTCTCTTAATCTTTAACGGACGATTTCTCACTCGTTTTAAGTTGGAATTTAATTTTTTTTGCACAGTTAGATCAGATTAATTGTGCTCTTCAAAATGATATCCACTTTGATATTTTTTGGACATAAAAAAATTTATCAGTTATTACCAGTCTATACCATATGGTATTGATCATACCATATGGTATGAAAAAATTTGCCACATCAATATATATTACGTTACCACCCAATACCATATGGTATAGTGTGGTAATATCAATATATATTTCATTACCACCCAATACCATATGGTATAGTGTGGTAATATCAATATATATTTCGTTACCACCCAATACCATATGGTATAGTGTGGTAATATCAATATATATTTCGTTACCACATAATACCATATGGTATGGTGTGGTAATATCACACAATACCATATGGTATAGTGTGGTAATATCAATATATAATTCGTTACCACACAATACCATACATTACCATATGGTATAGTGTGGTAATATTAATATATATTTCGTTACCACTGAATATCATATGGTATAGAGTTATAATATCAATATATATTATCTAAAAGGAAAAAACAGAAGGAGGTAGAGAAAAAAAATCGTCTTGTGTCGCCTCTCATTTCCTCTTCCGCAATCAAAAACACAAAAATGCCGAAAAAATGAGAAAGATCGAAATTGAGGCGAACGAGATGACGAAAAGAAGAAATGCAATGAAAAAGAGTGGCTCCAATTTTTATTCTTCATGGGGAAAAAAAATAAAGAAGAAGAGAAGGGAGCAGATTTAGATTTAGAAATGAGATTAAGAGAGAAAAAGGAAGTAAGAAAGAGAGAGGATCTGGAAAAGAGATTGAGAGAGAAAAAGGAAGAGAGAAAGAAGATAGAAAGTTGCAGAGAAGTGATTTCTCTTTCCTTCTTTGAAAGTGCAGCCATTAAATACGAAATAAAATAAAATAAAATAAAATAAAGAATTTAATATATAAACGGACAAAAATACCCTTCCCCACTCAGCGTCCGGCCCAACCACACGATTGCCTGCCTCTTAGATCTATGGTCCATATTCATTACTGACATGTCAGTAACCACTTGGTTACTGACCCTTTCTGCTGCCGAAAGATTATGGTGGTTCTCCAATTCGACAATACAGGGCACATAATTCTTTCTTAAGTTAAGGAAATACCATTTTAGATATAAGGGAAAATGGCATACATTTCTTGACAATTTTAGTTAACTCTCAACTCCATCCTCTTCTTGAAGGCAAAAGTTGCCATTGATTAATTTGTCTCGTCCAAACTCTTACTATCTCAGCCTGCCATTGACATTGAACAGCTTAGTACCTCAGTAGCATTGTCCTGTTGGAATTTCTTCATCACTTTGATTGGATCAGCAGAAAACATCATTCAATCAGTAAAAGTTAATTCCCATAGTTTTGCAGTGCGTATGATCTTTCTTTTATCACAGCTTGACAGTTAAGATGATAATTTTTTTAAACATGAGTTTCAATAAGGAATAAAATATTTGGAATGAAACATGGCAGCATAGTCATATTGATAAAAACCTCGATGAAAGGAATCGAAAGGAATCCAGAGAGAAATGAAATCACATAGATATGATTAACATCTTAGAGATTTTGAGATAATAAGAAAATACTTGTGGGTTTTCAGAAATACTAAGCTCTAAATGAATAGAAGAGGCAGTAAATCAATCCTAAACTCTTCATGTGATGGCTAATTGTTAGAAACCGACGGGTTGGGTCGGTTGGGTGAGGGGTGGAAATTTTGTTATTTTAATTATTCCAGTTTAGTACTTAAGAGGAGAGAACATTATTTTTCAGATCCC